TAATTGTCGAGTATTAGTTAAAATTCATAATATTATGTCATGTAAAACACGAAGAAGAGCTCTGAAAACAAAAACGAGAATAATACTTGTTAAATTATAAATAAAATCATTTCGAATACTTACGCACTAAAAGTTTCATCTCGTGTTCCATCAACTGATGATAAAACATCATTCTATCATGTTAATATAGCATCTTCAGTTGAATTTTGTACAAGACATCGAAGTATTATATTTATATTGATTAACTATCGATTTGTAGATTGACAATTGACATTCTAAAAAAAATTTTGAACTACAGGAAAATTTTATAAATAAAAACAACGAACATTTCTATTTACTAATGCTCGAAAAGCAGTAACAAATGAATCAATTGATCGTAATTCAACTGATGACACAACATCAAATAGTGTTAATTGTGTGGAATAAATATCCAAAAGTGATTGATCCTATTTGAACAAAAAAATAACTTGAGATTGTAAATGAGCAAGAAGTAAATCGACAATTTGTCGTGAAAGACGTTCCCATTTATCATCTTCAATTTGAACACTATTAACAATAACTGTGAACAATCGCAAAGCCTATAACAATATAAATTCAATTATTATTTTTTCAGTACATACACATGACATGAAAAGATACTTTTATTTATAATAATTAAGACGCCTAGTTTTCCTTCAAACTCAAATACATAACAACAAGATGATTATTTCAGATCATCAATTCGTTGAAGTGTGGGTGTGGGCTCAATCGAGGAGAAAGATTACATCTACACACCCACACTCACACCCTCTCGAGTTTCTAAGATATTTGAGACCTTATAGAGAGACACTTGTTGTTCACTCTCATTTAATAAAACTTTTTAGGAATTTTAATTATTCGCATAACTCGAACAAGAAAAAAATCATATAAAACTGCTTTTAATGCTGCCAAAGCTAAATAAAGAATTTTAACGATAATTTCTTTTTCTCGAAAATGTTTCTTTTTGCTTCCTACCATGTGTTTCAGGTTCATGTCCACTTGCTAATAATGAATCATAATGTTTTATTAAATCTTGTACTTTAATAACTTGTTTTGAATGAAGTGTATCATGTGATAACATAGCAAGAAATTCAGCAATACAACAAATAAAATGCTATTTAAAAATAAACGAAACGATTAGAAATGCAACGAATTTCATCAGCTTCTAATTAACTATTATTAACACGAATTAAAAGTAATTGAACAAGTAAATCGAGTACAGCAACTTGCAAATCACTTTCATTTGTATTAATACATTTTTTAAGACTAATTTTTTTTTAGTTCAATAAAAACTAAAATAGAAAACAAAAAAACAGACAGAATAAATCAAATTCGTTTTTTTTTGTTTATTTTACTGTCGTATTGCACTATTTATACTTGATGCAGAACATGAACCAAATAAAATAAATTATCGATTGTCGAATACTTATTGTATGAATATAAATTAAAGAATTATTTAATGATACTTGTGAAGAAACATTTGAATATTTAATAAAAACTAAATTAAAAGAATATTTTTAAATGAATGTTGTGTTAACAGAAAAAAATGATTTTCAAATTTCGAATTGATAGCGTGTCTTGCAGATCACTGACGTAAACTAGATGATTTAATATTCGAATTTCAAGATAGAACCGAATCAAAAGATCTGACACTTTCACAATAAAACTACTCTCGTTAAGATCATCGACATTCGTAAAATCAGTTTTTCTGTAACTATGACATTCTTATATTGAAATTTTCCTTCTCTAGGAAAGACCCTTTCAGAAACCTTCATTATAAGATTTCCATCTAAAGTTTTATCCATAGACAAGTTTCAGACACAATACAACATCCTAAAGGTTTTAGCTTAACCAATAAATAAAGAAGATTAATAATTGAAATTTTCTTCACAATAAATATTTACTATTTAAAAGAAGTTATCTCTTGTGTACATTGAGTATTGATTTAAAATAATTAAGTGTTTCTCTTCCAAATTTTTTTGATAAATCTTGTGTAGAAATAAGACTTAAAACTGATTTCATAGACAATAATGATCATTTCTGATGAATTTAATAAACTTTTATGTATTTGATAAGATGAACGTATTAATTCGAATAATTTCCAAAAGTACCTAATTGTGTACGATTAACTTTTTTATCTTTGTCTGTATTTGATGTTGTTGATGAATCTTTTTCATTCTATTTAAAAAGAAAAAAACAAATGAATTCATTCAGACGAAACATGATCAAATATATTCTTCAAATCTAACACTTTGGAACTACTTTCTTCTGTGAAAACTGAAATATTAACTATAGGAAATTATCTTCTACTCAAAAAAAAATGATGATTGTGCATATTTTTGCAATAGTTCGAGAACGGTAATAAAATAGTTCATTTTTCGAATTACTTGAATCATTTGTGCTACTTTCAAAACATTTTTTCATTTGTTGAGATTTGATAAATCTTCAAATAAAAAGAAAGAATTCAAAAAAAAAACATAATAAATATCTTTTTTTTCTCTTTACTTGAAAAGATTAAATTATTAAGATCATGGAATATAAAGGGATGTTTAAAAAAATTTATAAATAAACGAAGTTCATCATATTGATTATGAAAAAAATGGTCGAATTGTTGTTGGTCTTAAAACATTTGAAAGAACATAAATATCTTCTAAACATGCAACCTATATAAAAGACAAAAATAACAAGCAATTTGTATTCGAGTTGATGCTTGAGCTTGTAATGAATGATGAATTTTATATATCCATTGACAAGGTAAAAATGAATTGTGATCAACAAACCTTAAAATCAAAAAGTAGCTAATAACTAACTTAATGCAATAAAATCGACTTATTCATTCAAATTCGAAAAATAGCTACCTAGTAAATATCTCTACAAAATGCATACTTAGCAAAAGTCGAAGCAATTGCTTGACGAACACGTATATCAGGGTACTGTTGTTTTAATTGTTGTTCAAGATAAGTTAATATTCGAAAATCAATATCATCCATAAGTTGAGCTAGAGCAAACTATTTTATATACATACAAAAAAAAATTATTATAATCATAAATTTCTTTTATCTACTTTAGCAAGAACACAGGAACTTGTACTATGTTGAATAGAATCTTTCAATAATTCAATTCTTATGATTGTAAATGCATGACTATTAATTAATAAAAAAGGTAATAATGTTCGTAAAGCATTTAGTGAAACATGTATAACACGTGCATTATTATCATTAAGACATATAACCTTGAACTGTCTTGTGAATCGGTTGATATAAGTGAACATTAATTAATAAAAGAATTATTAAATGAATTTGATAATGATGATAGTGTTAAAAGATGAATTGTTGTTTGAATTAATGTAACAAGTAAATTTGCACATGCACCACGTAAATATAGATCATCGTGTTCACATAAAGATAAAAGATATGTAATATCTTAAAGAAAAGAAAAAAAAGATACCTTGATGTTCCATAAATTTTAATGTATTACAAGTCATATAGAGATGAGAATTTCATTTTTCTCATTAGGAAATTTCATATCAGTTACAAAATTTTTATTTAATCAGAAATCTTCAAAGACTAAAGAAAAACTCCTTAGAGGATACAATTGATTTCATATCCCGAACGTCAGTTTAGAACTATTTTTTGAGGTAGTTGTGTGATTAGATAATTTCAATCTCTGATGTATCAATGCAGGCTTTGAGCTTCAATAAAATGTTCTAGTCTTTTGTTGGTTTCAAAAAAATTAAAAATAGGAATAGGACTAGAGTTGCTGAATCAATATTCAGAAATCTCCGTTCTTGAATTTTCAGATTCCAATATATATATATGTTTCAACAATTTAATAGTGAAATTGTCATATCTATCAGATAACTTTCACTAAAACTTTGAGACCTTAACCAATTGAAGCCACGTCAACTAAACTCTGCCAATCCCCTTCACCTAGGCCCTCCTACTGTTACGATATTAGAAATAATTTTGCATTATAAAAAAAATCTATTTCACTGAACTGAAACTTTACAAAAAGAAGCCTCAAACAAGCATAAAACATACTTTCAATAAGGTAATCAAATCGACCAAATTGTTGATAAATACGATAGACATATTAGTATAACACATTTAACACTAATACATGATTCATCATCACTTTTTATTGTACCATCCATATTGAATATATATCTAATCGGAAAAAAAATATAATTGATGAACAAGTTTAGCAGCTTATCGTTCGTTTTTCATTATTAATCATTGATGTTTAATCGAATTCATCATTCATTTCAATAAATCAACGTTGATATGTTGAATAAGCTATTGTTTTAGAAAAAAAAACACAAATAAAAAAATTCCTTTTTTTTCTCAATATATACCTGTTTTTAAGGCTTCACTAACACAAGTTTTTTCTATAGATCCAATTTGAATTGAAATTAATAATTGATCAAAATCAAATAAATTTGAATAACGAAGTAATTGAATAACTTTTTTATTAAATCAAGATAATCAATTATTAAATGTGTACTAGCATTTTGATTTTGATATTCAAGTAATTGATCTATTAAAATAAAAGACAATTATAATGGATTGAAATCATTATTTTGAAAGAAAACTTACTACTTGCATTTGTCATTAGAAAACGTGCCATAACCATGGGATAACATATTTGCTGAATAGACCATGAGAAGTTTCTAAGAATAGTTTAGTAGTTTATTAAATATTTCAAAAGAAAATTATTGATTATTGATATTAGGAAAAAAAACAGAAGAATTCGTTTTCACTCGATTTCATACTTCAAGTATAACGATAGCCAGTGAACTACTATGACTAAACCATTCTTAAGTTGCATGAAACTCTACGCTCGATTACTTTCGAGGGCAGATCGCTTCAAATGATAGACAGTTTCTCAGTTCGTATTTCGTTAAATAGTACCAGACAGCCTATTCTACATTTTCTGAAAAACATCCTCTCCTGCTAGAATTTTTAACCGAAACATGGCAGAGCAATTCTTTTCTATGTTTCTATTCAACCGTATGACATTTTTCTGATTACTTCTTTAAAAAACTTGTCTTAGATGACAAAGATTATTGTTTTACTTACTTTAATTTCTTTATCATTAATCGATCGACCAAGACTACGAAAAATAAGTTCATAATATTCTGATAAAATGGTTGAATCTTTTTCGGATGTATTACATTTGCTAATTTGGCAAACCGTCATAGAATATCTAATCGAAATTAAAAAAAAATCCTTATTATAAATTTAAGTCAAATAATAAAAATAACCTTTTAAAGCATTTGGTCCAACATTAGGATTATGTTATATAGTTCGATGTAATTCAACTTGGCTTCTTGTTAAAACTACTTCTTTTAAATTCTGTTCTATAATTCATACCAAAATTATACAAAAAAATAGAATTTCTTTTACAATACTTTAACAAATTCATTAAGATTTTCCTCGACAGTCAATCTTACATCATAATCATTTTCATCACATGTTGTAAATAATGTTTTCATACTAGTTTTTATTAATTTAAAATAATTTTCATTGTTACCTGTAGATAAGAAAAACATTGTAGAAGAGATAAAAAAAAAATGAAAAGCAAAAAACTCAAATTATTTACTTGTTTATTAATGTTTCTGATGTTGTTATTGAAAGTAATTTTAAAAATTCAAGTGATTTATTTAGTTTATCCATGTTGTTTAATTTATATTCAATTCATTTATTTTAAACACCACATTATTTGATAATCACAACGAATGAATGAATAGTGGACTGAAAAAGCCTAACATCGATTGAATATTCATAAACACCATTGACATTTCTGTTCTTTTTATTAATGGATGGCGTTAGATTACATCTTTATAAAATAAGACTGTATAAAGTGAAAACTTTTTCATCAACTGATATTCTTATAACTAAAAATATAGTTTTTGCTACACGTTCAATAGGGATATGTTTTGATCTTGTAAATACTACAAGTGAGTCTAAAGACGTTATTTTGCACTGGTGTGGTTAGGGTTGTTTGTAAGCAAAGTTTAATCCTATACACAAATATCTACCCACACTCACACCCTGTTGGCAACAACAGAAGCCATTATCGACTAATAAGGCATCGTCATCCATCGTTCTTGTCGAATGAAGCCCAAGGCAACCGAAAGAAATAACAATAAGAAAAAACAAAAAATTGTTTAAATCCTATTTAGAAATTCTTTTTTATTCTTTTCTATTGTAAATAACAATAATGCAGTTCTTTTTTTATATGTTTCGTTCTTGTTCTTCCTTGTCTAATGTTGAATGCATGTACACAAATTTTATCTGTAACTTTTCGTCTGCAGCATTTTCAAAAGAAAAAAAAACGAATACTCAAATATAAGAAGTCCTTGAAGTTGATAGCGATCAGCCAAACAAAATGAAACTGTAAACATAAAAAGGAGGAAAAAAAATCGAAATGCATTTAGAGACACAGACGAAATATTTTTGTTTTGTTGATCGTTACAGTGCGCAACAAGTAGGGTGTGGGTGTGGGTGTGGGTATGACTATGGATGTGGACGGGTGTAGGTATAGTTTTTCTTTTAGCTCACAGGTACACCGACCCACACCCTAGTCCTTCAAAATTTTCGTTTAAATAAAGAATCTCTGTTGTTGTCTAACATTTATTCATTCGTGATTTCAGATTGACGACGCACATAATACATATAGCTCTTCACATTACGTACAATCAATCAATATGGGTTGCGGTGCATCAGCAGGATCAACGACTAATTCTCTCAGCAATCATCCAAATCCTACTACTACAGCAGCAGTAACGCCATCAACATCGTCATCTACTGTATTAAATCAACAATCGGATTTAAATCGTATTCCGAAACTGGGTCAGCCAATTGTTACAAATGAAATTATTGAAAATTTTCTTTTGATTTGGCTGGACGCAAAAATCGATGAGTCCAAGGAAGATTATCAGAATTCAATCAAGCAGCTGCGACGCACCGTCAATACTGTCAAAACATTTCAAGATACCGAAGAATGTATTGATTATATTCGAAAACTTCAAGACAAAAAAGCATTTCTTATTATTTCCGGTGCTTTATGTCAAACAGTTGTGCCACGTATTCATAACATGGATCAAATTCACTCAATTTATGTCTTTTGTCAAAAACAAGAAAAATATGAAGAATGGGCAAAAGATTGGTCCAAAATAAAAGGAGTTTACACTAAAATTATTCCAATTTGTGACTCAGCTCAACAATCGGCTCGACAATGTGACGAAGATTCAGTTGTAATTACTGGAATATCGTCGTTGGATCAAATTGAACCGTCATTTATGTATACACAACTTTTCAAAGAAATTATTCTTGAAATTGATTTCGATGAAAAAAAAGAAATCAACGATCTAGCCGAGTATGCCCGGGAGAAATATGCAGGTAACGATAAACAATTGGAAATTATCAATGAATTCGCTCAAGAATATCAAGGTAATCAGGCCTCGTAGTCGTCCTATATTTCCTATATATTTCGAAAAAGTAAAGATTATTCTGAAGCGAATCGTATTTCAGTCAGAAAAGGCACACATTCTTCTGTATATATTACCATTAGCTTCCACAATAGAACTGATAGCAGGTAGCGACAGTATAATATTAATTGATGGTGATGATACGAGAAGTAAATTCATAAGTAAGGAGTGATCGAAAGTTACACAGGTCTTAATGATAGTGAACTACGATGTCAAAATTTTGGGATCTAACACGCCTAGTCTAACCTAATCAAAAAATTTTAGACTTCAGCCCCGGATTTTTTTTTGCATTTTGGCGACATTCATATCATTTTGACGCGTAAAATTATTGCAAATGAATAATTAAACGAATCAATAAATAGTACACATCGTATGTTAGTGTAGAATTCATTATTCTTGGTGATGGTTTCTCAGAAACCACAGAAACAAAATGACCAAAAACGTTTTCCGGAAAAAAAGCGCTTTTTTGCTATTCGTAAGTGTGAATCTCTCGAATGTTATTAACTTTTCTTGAGATTTATTCATAATGTTAAAAATAGTAGATATAATTTTTCATTAGTTAAAATATCAATAAGGAAGTTACGGCTAGGCAGGAGTAAAAAAATCCCCGAATGGCTTACGGATATAACTCCGATAGTGACTCCGAAAAAATATTTTTCAGCCACTCCGTTGGAATCAAAATGGCATTTTGGAGTCCGATGCAGTTCATTACTTAATTACTATTCAAAAGAAAAGAAAAGTTGCATTTGCTAAACGACTACAACAACAAAACAAGAACCAAAAGACTTAAGTTGATTTAATTCTAGTATTAAGTGAAAGAGATTTTTTCCTATCATTCATTTATATATTTGCAAATAATTATTTATGCAATTTTTAAATCTATTCAATGTCAATAATCACGAAGATAGATATAGGGGTGACATGGGCGATGGTGAGGGCAGAGTGCCGCCTCTAACCTTTGAAAAATGAGAACAACTTCCTATCATTTTTGGGAAATTTCAGACGAACTTTTCTCCGTTTTCGAAAAAAATATACTTGATCTAACAAATGAAATAAATTTACTTGAATTAATCACACATTCATACACCGGTCATCTGTATTCAACACGTGTTGTTCACATATTTTTCCATATTTGAAAGTACCTCTTTGCGCCCTTTTTCCCCTAGTCAGAGAATATAAGTTGTGTATAGAAATATATTTAAGCGTTTTTTCTATACATTTTTCTTACGTTCTATCTTATATTATTCTGATAAAGATATTAGTCAACAATATTTTAATAAATCATCCAAAGACTATTATATGATTTTCAACGTTTTTTTGTATCTAACTCTATTAAGTCTCTTTTCTTCAGTAATTGAAATGTATATATATATATATTCTTTTTCAATTAACTTGATAACTTCGAGTATAAACTGTTTATGATCGTAGGAGCAATTGTAATGTTTGGCAATTCTGCTAAAACCTTTCTTATCGAAAGAAGTAGTCCTATATATTTCCTATATTTTTATCAAAATCCTATAAAAATACTGCTTTTAAAGTCCTACATTTTCCTTTTTGCTCAGGACGGATCGCTACGACGCCTGAAGGTAATTTAGAGGAAAATAACAAGCCCATCTGGTGGTATACACGAGAGTGTTTCACATATCGTATGCTCAACAAAGCATTGGGCACTTTAGAAGTTGAAACTCTATTGAAAATGGGCGTGTTTATTCGGGATTTACATCAAAATATCGAGAAACTTCATTCGGAACAAACGAATGATATTCATACGGTCTATCGGGGTAAAACCATGACCAAGAAAGAGTTCGATAGTAAAATTAAACCAGGTGGTCTCATGTCATTTAATAATTTCTTATCAACAAGTGAAGACCGCAAGGTAGCCCTTCATTTTATCGAAGAAGGTCTCAACTCCAACAACAAGAACAAAATTGGTGTTCTCTTCGAAATGACTATTGATCGATCGATTCCATCGGCTCCATTTGCCCACATCCAAAAATTTAGTTTTTACAAGAAAGAAAAAGAAATTCTTTTTTCAATGAACACAGTTTTTCGCGTTCAGCATATCAAAGAAATACAAGATAGTGGAATGTCAATATGGCAAGTTAAACTTACACTCACGACTGAAAATGATGACAAACAGCTTAATGCTCTTACAAAACGAATCCGAGAGGAGATCACTGGAACAGGATGGCAACGAATGGGCCACTTGTTATGGAAACTAGGTGAGAATAACAAAGCAGAACAGGTGTACAACATGTTACTCGAACAGGCATCCAATGAGAGCGATAAAGCTGATTGTTATAACTTTCTTGGAATGATCAAACGAGGTCTAGGACAATACGAAGAAGCCATTAAGTTTAACGAAAAATCACTTGAAATCCAGAAAATAGCTCTCCCTTCGAATCATCCCGACTTGGCTACTTCCTACAACAACATCGGTGCGGTGTATTCTAGCATGGGCGAGTACTCGAAAGCACTTTCATCGTATGAACAAGCACTTGAAATCCAGAAAATAGCTCTCCCTCCGAATCATCCCCACTTGGCTGCTTCCTACAACAACATCGGTTCCGTGTATTATAACATGGGCGAGTACTCGAAAGCACTTTCATCGTATGAACGATCACTTGAAATCCAGATAACAGCTCTCCCTCCGAATCATCCCAACTTGGCTGCTTCCTACAACAACATCGGTATGGTGTATGATAACATGGGCGAGTACTCGAAAGCACTTTCATCGTATGAACGATCACTTGAAATTCGTAAAATAGCTCTCCCTCCGAATCATCCCGACTTGGCTTCTTCCTACAACAACATCGGCTTGGTGTATGATAACATGGGCGAGTACTCAAAAGCACTTTCACATTACGAAAAAGCTCAAGAAATTTGGAAAAAATCACTTCCTGCAAATCATCCACATATTGCTCTCGTGAAAAGAAACATTGACAATGTAAAAAAGAAAATGTTTTTGTTTTTTTTTGATTTTAAACAGAAAATATATTCCACTTCTTGAACCACAGGCTCGCCGAAGCAAGCAGCTACAAAATGTCGCGCACGCGCGACCAGAGATACCCTCCGTATTCTGCTGGCTCGTACAGTGGACAAAGCCGGCAATGGTTAGGCAAACATACATCGATGTACGTATGAATAGTGCAACCATGATCATCATCTTCGAAAAGACGATGACGAAATGGACGCTTCTATTCATACATACATTGATGTATGTTGTGAAGGCCTACCATCTGCACGCCTGCACGGGTCACCAACAGAACGTCGGATATCCCTGAGAAGGTTGATTTGTTTTAGAGCCACCCTCAAAAGCTCCGTTAGTTAGAAAATTATTTTTATTCTTCTGTTACGAAGAACAAGAAGAAGTAGAAATGGAAGAAAGATAAGATATGAAAACGAAAAGACGCGATGAAAGACGACGTCAACGTAACGGAATGATAATACGCAGCGCATGATAACGACCGGTGTTTGTCAAGCAATGGAATATTGAGTGCACGATATCTTTGTCGTCTTTAAACATTTCATGTTCAATTCGGCTGTGTTTTCATCTCGTATGTGTAAAGATCATTTGAATGTCGTGCACTCGCCATTGTAGCAAACGAACGATGATTGAATGAAACGGCGGATAAAAACAATACATTCGCCGTCAATTTGAGTAATAACTCATGCACTACATATTAAAATACAGATAAAGAATAGAAAAAAAGGAAAGTTTTAAATATTTTTTTTTATACTTTATGATGGTATGTGATGGTTATATTAACATTGATGTTCTAAAAGAACAAAAGTTATTCGAAAGATACTTATCAGACTTTCTGTTATTAAATGAGCTTTAATATTAATATGCCATAAGAAAATAAAAAGTATAAATATTTTTCTTTATATTTTCATGAAACAATTCTTAAACTATTTAAACTTTAAAAAAACTTTTATTAGATAAGGAAAATCTAATTAACAAATTTCATAGATATTTTATGCGAATAATTGAATTTCTAGTTAAAAATAAATTTGCTCTTTAACTTCAACAAACTTATGAACAAAATATTTTTTTTATTGAAAATGATTAATAATTCGATGTTGTTGCTACTTCTATTTAGGATTATGAAATCATTTTTTCACATCTTATTTCGATTAATATTAACATATTTTTTTTTGAAGGTTACAATTGAATATTACAAATATGGTTTTGATCGAGTTTTATTTTTAATAGTTATTTGCTATATTCACAATAAGATGTTAATTTCAGTTCTAAAATATTAAAAAAATTATAAAAAATTAAATGATCATACAGGTAATTTATGAAAAAGCTTTCATTTTATCTTTAAATATTATCTTGGGATGATATTAATATCAATGTTAATCGATGTGATACTTCAATTTTAATGTATTTTATTCGATAAGTTTTTTATTTAGGTTTAACAACTTGGCCAACACTTTGCTTGTGTTTTGATTGATTTTTATAAAATAAAACATTAAAAACCATTGTTTGTTTATAAAATTTGAAGGTTAAGAATTAAACATAATTTTATTTTCTATCACACCGACACCCTGTAAAATTCATGCTTGATTTCTGATGATCATAATCAACGATATGGTTTACATTTTTGAGTTAAACATAATAGCTAATTTCTGGCCAAGAAAAAGGAGACATTTCTGTATTTTCAATAACTCATCTGACACTTTGTACTGTAAGATGATTTCTAAAACAAATCGTTTTCTTAAAACATTTCAAAAAAAAACCTAACGATGTTCCACTTCGATGTAGGTTTGATTTTTAACATCTGCTTCAATTTCACAGTTCTAGGTACGGTTCAGATGATTAGTTTCTCACAATTTTCTCATCATCAAAATTTCCTTAAGATTAAATAACATTTTCATCTATGTTTTTGAAATTTTTACAAGGAGTATAGATTTCAAAGTAATTTTCTCTCTAATAGTATCAGATGAAAAGACTTCTAATAGAGTTCTCTTAG